CGCTGGTCGTCACCGACCCAACTACTAGTCTGGCCCTCACTGGCTTATCTATGGGAGAGCGGACGGGATCCCGAGTTTTCCAGTGGGTATGGTCGTATGTGTTTATTTAAATGCAAAGTATGGCTTATGAGCGACAGTTATTGTTTCTTCCCGCCCTGTCTCTCCTTCCTAAATGCATCTTTCGGCGTTATTCCAAGGATGCCACACTAACCGCTCGGCTAAAACTGCATCATTGTTCCAAGTGACTTTCATTTTCGTGCCAGCAATGAGCCAGATGTTCCAGTTATGCATTTGTTTACTTTCCTCAGGGGCTTGCTAGTCGCAACTTGCCCGCCCTCATTGGATGATGGCATTCCCAACTCCACTGCACAATGTTATGGCAGTGAATGATAAGCCAGCTACACTAAAGAGAACTTCATCAATGGTTGCGTGGCCCAGTGGTTAAGGCATCTGCTTTACAAACGATAACGCAGAGGATCGCAGGTTCGAGCCCTGCCGCGATCATTTCTTTTGCCATTTTTTTTCACATCACTTTTTTGGTTTTTTCATTGTTGGTCTTGCTTGTCTGGTTGTTGAGATTTACAAAAGATCTGTTGGTTTTCCACGTGTTTTGGTATTTCTTTTTGCTTTTTAGTAAAGTCGGATGCTTCTAAATCGCAGATGTCGTCAGTTTTTTTCCTGCCTCAGATTGTTAACGTCATTGCAACGACACAACGTGTATATGTAAATATGTGTTTTCGGCATTGGTCGCAAGGTGAATCATTCTCATCTCGTTGTCATACTCCTGACATCTGCTATTGTAATGTGATGCAAGGCCTGACGCATCGTGTAAACATTGCCAACACATGCTCTCCTTCACACAGGCGTGACGGGTTGACTCCTTTCATCACGAATTCCTGCACGCTTAAATTCTGCCTGTTTCTAACCCCTTTGCTATTCTCAACCAAAGGCAGGAATGCAAATTGGAATATTCAAGTCACGAGCCTGCGTCTACAAACGATTCGTATTCTGCCGTTCTCAGTCCCCATCCGGGGCCATCTGTCGTTAATGCTAAGGATACTAACCCAAGTCCATCGTATCCCAGTTCCCGAAATCCGTCGTGAAGTCTCCTGTCCCCAAGCCGCTAAAGATATCATCACCACTCAGGTCTCCTCCCGCGCCACCGCTGCCACTGCCTCCACCGCCAGCGCCGCCAGCTCCTCCTCCTCCACCATTCCCACCCGAGGCACCTGCACCTCCTCCTCCCGCAACACCACCACCTTGACCACCCGTCCCAACACCACCTCCCATTCCGCCTCCAGTATTCGTATTGACCGTCAACCCACCCATGTTCCCCATACCCATATCCCCCATCCCACTTATATCAATGCCACCCGCACCTCCCACATCCAACCCACCCATGCCCGTAGCATCCAAACTCATCGCGTCCATCGGATGATGATGATCACTACCCGAAACCTGCACCGCCGCAGCGTTCATGATGGAATCGCCCATAGCATCGCCAGCCACCACCCCCAGCGCGCTCAACTCCGGCTGCAGCATCGTTTGCTGATGATGATGATGATGCTGCGCGGGCGGCGGAGGTGGGGGAGGTAGGGCCATCTGCGCCTCGACGCGACGATGCAGGCGCACGACCGTTTCGGCCATTAGGGGGTCTGATTTCTGAATTTTCTTAAATTCTTCCGCTTCGAATTTGAGAGCTTCGCGTAGGGTGATTCTCCGCTGCTTTTTGGTGATGGGATGGTTCGCAGCATCTCCTCCTTCTCGGGCAGAGGAGGGGTCGTTGTCGTCCGTTACGGGGGTATTGTGAACGTCGGGAGCACAGATGATGGCTGTGACGACGTCGTAGGCCACGGAGCCGTTGCCGGCTTCTGTTTGCGTTTTCAGCTCCTTAAGCAGGGCAGAGAGGAGACGCCTTGCGCCGCAGATCTGGAGAGCGACAAGAACCTGGCGGTGGGTGTAAGTGGCCGGCACGCCGTTACCGGGCGAGTGCTGAGCCCACTGGACCAGATTTTGGACGGTGTGGCGGATGGCGCCGTAGAGACCCCCGACGGACCCGGAACCATTGTGATGTGTGCCAGTCCAATTTTCCAGCTCGCTGTGGTCGGCGCCACCGGTGCGGCTGGACACGGCCAGATTTTCTTTGAGAGCGCGCAAAAGGGGTTCGACCTCTTGTGACGCGGGAACCTGACGCTGATAGGAGCGGAGTGAGAGTTCCAGGGGTTTGGCGACAATGTTCAGGACCGATGAGAGCATGGTAGATGCTTCATTGGATATTGAATTTGGACGCAAAATGAGTTGAAGAATCTTGATGACCGCTCCTTGACCGGGTTGCTTATCAGTCCGTAGGTTGTTTGCAAGGAACAAGAGTGCTGGCACTAGTGAGGGCAATAATAGGGTATCCAAGAGATCTAAGGGGCAGTTAGCGGCAATGCCATGACAATGGCGGTAAGAAAGTTCATACTCACATTCTAGACCACTTCTTAATAGGTAATCGTTCAAGCAGCCTGTACTCAAGGCCATGACGATCTGATCAAAAAGCGTCGGCATGAGTAGATAGAAGTCCTGCGGAGGACAAGACGACATAAGATCGTCTCCTAGACCGCCAGCCTCGGAATCAAATAGCCCATGTACCCAACCATTCAGATGCGACTTTTCCTGGTCGCTAAGCTCGTCCAACGGCCGACTCAATTGGCCCCTTCCTAGTAGCTTCCCCACGAACGAATGCGGAGATCGGATGGCCAAGTCGGTGGGTGTCAGACTGTAGCGGTGCACAAAGGCCAGCAGTAGAAGCTGGATAGACCCAAATTCCTCGTATACAGGCTGATATTCGCCCTGATCCTCGTCATAGCCACCCCAGTCGTCCAAGAGCTCGCACAGAGGGTGAAGTATCTTGTATGGTTTATCGAAAAGTAATAGAATATCCAAGGATGATGGTTTGCTGGCCAGCTGGCTGCACAATTGCTTGAGAGTCATGGTCTCCTTGTTGCGGCAAAGTGTACCAATCACCTATATCATATCAGCAGCCGTCACGCACAGGGTTTTGTTGTCTGACTGAATGACAACTAACCTCAACAATAGCTTGCGCAGCAGCGCCCACGTTTCCGTTCATGTTATCCAATTCCCCGATAAGCCTCTGACTTCTCTCGAAATCTTCCAAACATGCCTGGACCAGCGTTTCTTTCACGTACCGACCCTCGTCCGGCAGTGTTTGATAAGTAATTTCTCCCAAAAGGGTCTCGATGGCCGACGCAGATAACAGCCCGTGCAGCTGGCAGGCAAAGCAAAAGTCTTGTCGCACGGAGTCCTGAAAGGAGCTGCTAGTGTTCGACATGTCAAACATGTTGGACAATGTCGGAAACACATTAGTGTCAACCTGACCCAGCGCCTGGGATATGCAAAACTCTGCGTCAAAAGGATACATATGTGTAGAGGAGGCAGCAAAGTTACCCAATATTAGTGGAACCTTGTTGACGACGTATGATTTGAGCAAGTGTCCCGTTTTTGATCCTTCCCTGAAGACGGCGTTCGCCAAAACATCAAAGGATGCTAGAATAAGGTGTATTGCTGTTGTTTGCAAGTCACCCTGGACCTTTTGTCAGCAAAAAATATAGATGACGTTGTACGCTGAACGACAGAACAAACCTGGTATCGGTTATGGAGGTAGGTGTAAAGAGAATGATCGTCAATCAAAGGTCGTCCCACGAGCTGTCCAAGGCGTCAGCATCCCAAGTCCCCCATCCACTCCAAATCAGGATAATCGTCCGACGAACATACCGCAGCATTGATGTAAATGTACAGACCGGCGCGAGAGTTAACTATGGGCATATCGGGGATTTGCCATGTGTCCAGCCCGATCATGTTATCCATGTAGCTATGCATCTCCGCTACTGCAGCGTCCTTCAGATCAGAAGACTCTTCCCCGGCCAGTGCCTGTCCTCGGCTGAACTCTAACCTCTCCGCAATTCCAGAGGTATTTGGATTCTGAAGGAGATAGGGTATAAGCTGATCGATAGAGCTCGCTAATCCTTTGCGATGGCCTGGTGAGAAGAAAGTCATTAGCCAAGTGTTCGGTTCACAGAACAGGGAATCATAACATGGGAGAAGCGTTACTTTTAGCCTCGGGCCGGCTAAAGGCAGAGACCACCCGTTGATTCCCCAAAAAGTTGACCAAAAGCAAACTGAAAGCCTGAAGAGAGGTCTCCATGTCCTGCTTAGTTCGCATGTTCTGAATAGTGCCGAATGTATCTCGTGAAAAGGCGGCGATGACGTCGATGAAAAGCGTTGTCCACTTGCTCAGGTTCGTAGCCATCTCGTAGGCGTCAGAGGCATGCCTGATGCCTTGACCATGTGTTATGACCTTGGAGAGCCGCAGAAAGATTACCTCCTCGTCGTTGTATGAATTTTGCCAAAACACCCTCTTCGGTTTTTTGTCTCCTTGTTGCCCCTGGCCCCCCTTAGTGGCCGTCGCGGCCACGTTTGTAGTACTTGCATCATATTCACTCTGAATCTTGGCCTGCGATGTCGAGTAATGGTGTAGAACTTTCAGGACGGACTGGGGGTTGACGAGCTTCTGGTTGAGGAGGATGGTGAGATATTGTAGTCTGCGGGGGTCAAGGGAATAGGAAGACTGCTTCGTCGGCTTGAGGAGAAGGTTGGCGATAACAATGGGAGGCAATGGATAGAAGTCCGAGTTAAGGATGGGCACGAATCTCGCGAAGTCGCTGGGGTCTAGTCGTTTGGCTTCGGCGCGCGCCAGGAACTTGGTCCATTGTCCCACGGCCGCCGACAAGCCTGCCGTTGCTGGACCTCCGGGCATGGTCGGGGCATTCGAGACCGGGATTGTCGACGGTAGCGATAGTGAGTGGTAGAGGAGCAAAGATCGTGCGCGTACTATATCGGGGCTGTGGTCATTTTCCAGGCAGTGGTGTTGGTAGCTGACGTTGTTGCGTCGCGACCAATGTCCGATGATGCGCTTGTCAGCTTTCGAGCATGTGGTCGACGCAACTGTTGGTTCCACTCCTTCCACTTCGCGCAACTGAATGACAACCAGTTTCCAGATGACTGACAGGGGCGTTTGGGGCTTTGGTTCCAGATGCTGTGGATTCCGTGAATGCCTTGAGCGGTGCGTTGTATGTACCTAGAGGTAGCGCGTTCGCCGTTGTGATCCGCCCATGGGCGCCTTGGCTCCAATCTGGAAAATGTGCTGGATTGATTGACGATATTCGTAGTATACTGTTCGACTGTCAAGTGGCAGAGCAAAAGGTTGAAAGCAATAGATGGAAGGTGGTGAAGTGTGAAGCAGCCCGTCAGAGTCGCACACAGCGCGCATGGATAGCAGCGAACTGATGTGGAACTTTTACAAAACGAAACAAAGCTTCCGATCTTTCATGTTTCCTATCCGTAAAGCGAACGTGTTCTGTAGTGTAAGGTATCGTACCCGGGCAAACACAAGGCGAACTTTCCACATTACCGTAAGTCGGCACGAGCCGAGGACCCACAGAGGAATTAAAGTGGAGAAGAACTCAAAAGCTTGGGCCAGTTCCATGAGTGGGCTGTGTGGGCTGTTATGAAGCTGTCTCCGTCTCCGGCACTCCGGTCTTAGACTGTACCTATACTATAGTATATCCCTCTTTACAGTACGCATCAAAGTTCTTGTGGACGTACTGCTACTACCGGCCGATGTTCGTACGGTATATGTATCAATTGACAAATCGAGGTCTCGTATCTTGCCCATGCTCCCTCAATGTCCTAGGTTGGGGAAGCATGGGATTGATCCGAGGAGTCGCTCTGGTGCAGTAACTTGATCATGATTTCAATGGAAGAGCTGGGAATATGTCCTCGTTTTCTCAATCGAATTCCCGATATTTGTTTGTATGATACAGAGCCATCCTAACCCCATAGCAAAATGCTCAGACGTGGCCCGTAAGGAAGTTAGTTGTACGAAGGAATGCCAACACTCAACAGAGAGCACTCATATCCAGCCCATTAACTTTCCCCTATCCGTTCCCAATTCACGTTACAGAGCCTCCTGGTATGAACCCTCTTAGTCACCTTCCCTTTTGATACCCTGCATCCGTCCTCCATTGGCATTGTTCCCGTTTCCATTGCCGTTGGCTTGCTGCACATCTGGTGCGCGTGGTCCCAACATCCAGTCCTGCATCGCCAACCATTCACTCCAGCTTCTCTCAGCTAGAACAATCTCTCTTTCGGTCGCATCGCGCAAAGGTTTCAAAAACGGTATGGACTCTTCCTCGTTCATGTCGTAAGCCGCCTTGACCTTGAGCCAGTTGGAGCTCTTGGCCGCAAAGAGGTAGTTCCGTCGCTCGTTCTCGTGTAGTGGCCCGATCCCAGCCTCCCAGTCGTCGCCGAAAAAGCCGTGCAAAACTCCGGGAAAATCATATCCCGTAGCTACCAGACGGCGGATATAGGGGATCAAGTTGACACTCGCATACGACTGAAGACCATAGCCCCCGACGGGTGCCTTTCCCGCTGCTCCCCGGGCACAAGACGCCTCTAGTTCTGGTGGTGGGCGGACTGTCTGTGAAGACAGCACCGGGTTGGGCTTCTGGAAAGGTAGTCGGATGTTGATGAATCCAGCAAGAGCCTGCACAGGGCCATGGTATTGGGCGTGGTCCAGGAAGTATCGCATGCAGGACATGAAGTATGGGTGCCACTCGAGAATGTCGAACTGGGACTGGGCATCCGCAAAGGACTGCGCGGGCGTGTTAACTTTCGGACGAGCGTTGGAAGCCGGTCGCGGGAAGGAGAAGACACCATGTACCTGTGCGTGACGAAAAGCCGGTCCGCCTGGTTGAGGGAAAGCCATTGTTGGCAACGGTGATTGTCAGTAGGTTAGGTGAAGGGCGAATGCGAATGAGGTGTGAATGCACCAACGAGAGCGTTATGACAGCTCAAACGGCTTGGCTGTATTTTGGGTGATGTTTTGTCGTCTCGTCTTGGTGATAGGCGTCAAGTTGACTAATCTTCAACACGAAATGGCTAGAATGGTGTTTGATCAATATCAACCTCCGTATATAGTTCACACCGACAACAGATGGTATGATATGACGGAGCCTTGTGAAGGGGAAGGTCGTCTTGGTAGAGGATGAAACAACTTGGAGAACTGAAGGGAATGACGGGACGGAAATTAAGCTTTCAGAAGCGGGAGCTAAGACGTTATATAGCCCCGTATGGAGAAGATGCGGACCATCAATCCTTGATCAACCTCGGGAAGATTTCTCAACCGCATACCCACTCGGCCGCTGTAGGAGGTCCCCAAGCCGCATGATGTGCATGTGCCATCATGGGAGTGGAATAGGTAGTAGAAAACCTGTCTGGACTGCGTACCGGAAGAACAACAAAACAGGGGTTGAGGAAAGACGTCCCGTTCAGGGCACTAAAACAACGAGGAGCACCGGATGTAGGCGACGGCGGAGCAACGGCGGCAGTCAGTGTGTACAGTGACTGTACCCATCTCCGTCTCCATCGCAAGCAAGGTACGCTCCCTTTTACCTGCAGCTGAAGTGCGCTCGGAGAAGGAGGGGAAAAAAGAAAAGATCCACAGTGAGTAGTTTCTGTGGGATACTATTTGTGCGAAAGGATGGGCAATTGCAAAGGCCGAAGTGATGTACATGATGAGATTGAAGTCGGGTATGGGTGGGAGATCTGAAGACGGGTCTCGTCGCCGTCATCGCGGGGGAGTTCGAGAGCGCCAATCACGAAGCAGCACTCCGAAGGTAGTCTGGACAGTCTCAAGACAGTGTCTGGATAGCCAGTGTGAGACCGAGGGGGCATGGATGCCTCCGAGACCTGATTGATGAAGCAAGCGCGATGCCCTGTGCGAATCTATGGCGAATGCATCGTAGGATGGCATGTCGAGCGCTTCTTTTCCACTCCGAGTCTGTGTTGCTCCCCGGTTGGTGGCGGGTGGTGGTCTGGACTTGACAATCTGGATGTCGAGTTTTTGCTGTGAAGCTAAATGTCAAACGCGGAGCACCGCGAGGAACAGAAACGCCTGCGGGACGTCGGAAGGAGTAGTGGACTCGGTGGAGAGCCCCTACGCAGTACAGGGGCTGTGGCGACAAGGACAGGCCATCTTTGTTTACGGTAGCCGACTGCAAGGAGGGCGAGCGAGCCGTGGTTCTCAAAGCCCCGTCAGTGCCTGTTCCCGCAAGAGTCCCGCTCCCACTTGAGAAGATGAGGTGGAAATGCGGTTATGGAGGCGATAGGTAGCATGGATACCTCTATACACGGCACCAGAGCTAGGTAGCTGGACCACCTGAGCTCTGAAATCATCCTGGTTTTTTTGCCTCGCCGTGACTGACGGATGGCAAAAGAGCTGCGAGATTCGCTCCGTGAGTGCTTGGTTGCCTGTCTATGTCTGTAATGAAAAAGGCAAGTGAGGTTGAGAAATGGGATTGGATTTGCCAGGGATACTGGGATCGACGACGGGACGGGGACTTGCTCGGCGAGGCTGCAACATCTTGGTAGACCCTACACAGTGATGCTGTGTGTGCGATGTGATGTAGGTATAGGTAGCTTGATGAAGCTTCGGTTGAGGCGCAAACTACCTAGAGACCTCACAAGTGTAAGAGACCTCTCCCCCTCTAATTCAAGGGTCCTCCGAGGGCAACACTACACAGTATACGTCAAGGTACCCCGGGATCCCAGGACAGGAGGGAGGATATATATGCCCATGCCCGACGCCCTCAGTTTGGCATGGTAAGGGGATGACGGGGTGAGCGGGTTCGGTATCGACTTGTTGATCTGCTGCCAGCTCGCTTGCCCCCTTCAGGTGTCTGCTGCATCTGCGATGCGATGCAATGTGCTGCTTACCAGGCGCGGTATCTGGCGTTGAAACTTGGGTTGGGGCAACTTGGAAGGTCACATACATTGACTGCATCATGCTCTCATACGCCAGAGGGGTTTCTGCAGGAGAGAGAGATGAAGGGTTGAATACGTAGCGTCCACCTTCCATGTCCCGATCGCTGGGGAATGGAAAAGCAACAACTTGACGCGATGCTTGGTATTGAGAAAACGCCACGACATCGAAGAATGGGTTGTGAATTGGAGATGGGCGCAATCTCAGCTTCTTTAGTACGGGCTTCCAAAGATGGAAGTACCATATCGGGCAACTGTAATATCAGAGCTACTTATCGGCTGGATGATGCAACTTGATGCAGGTGACCCTGAAACTCAACTTTTTCTGTTGTTCCCTTCAAGTGTGTTGAAGTGAGTGCGTTCACCTTCGTTCGGCTCTTTTTGCTTCAGTTGGTGCGGGGGGTGCACGTACGAATTGCACTCCCAAAGAGGACTACGTAGAGGTGCTCGTCGTTACGCGCTACGGGCAGGCGACGATATGCACATCATTTCCAAATTACCCAAACAGCTTAGCGTGGTGGAGATTGTCCCCAGCACCTCACCGTCACTGTGCGCAGGTGGTCTGTGCTTTGTTGAAAGCGACAGGCCGGTGTATCTTGGTATCCACCTTTGTCGTCTGGGCTTCAGGTACCGGTTAAGAATGACATATTCTGTCCGCATGATTGGACATCAGCCTGAATGGTCTTGGAATGAATGGGAAGGTATCAAATCTGCTACGGCCGGTGATCACTAGACACTGTTGCTTGGCTTCAGCTGGCATACACTAGTACCATTAGTATTGAGAGGGAGAAGCTTCGATGTGACCACCAGCGCCCTTGGATGGTCTATCGAAACTGGAGGGCAGGTACTGTGATCCTCTGCATTATATATACCAAACCACGGCTGTGGACTTGGCGATAGGCTAGAGCACGTATTTGGCATATAGCCTAAGATTACCTGTGGCCTCGACTCCCCTGATGAAAAGTTCCCTTCATATGCTGTCATAGAGAGGAAAAGTGTGAAATCCAATGGAACCAGATGGTAGGCCGCATTTGAAGCCTTACTCCGTGAATCATCGTGACATCAGCCTAGATAGCCAGTATTTTCTTTGCTTACTTGATGGTAATGTTGCATACATAGGTCTGAGGAGCTCAAGTTCGCGCTGCTCGTTAGTCCAGGCCACCCGGAAGAGCCTCCGTCGAATGCATCGAGTTCCGTCAATGATACTGTCTCTCTGCTTCACATTAGCCGACATGCTCGGGAAGCGCCAGGTACCCAGGCTCACTGGGCCACGTTAGTTAACTTGGGCCAGGTTTGGTTGTCAGTCAGCGGCAGCGGGTAGTTAGAAAGCATCCCGGTCTGAGACAACTGTGTTCAGGTTCCGCCTGGATGGAAATTGCTTGAGCTGATACGACTGACAAGCCTTGACGCGATTTGCTCCACGAAGCGCAGAAAACGGCCATTGGTTCGGGGTTTCTCTGGCGTACTCCTTTGACTAAGCTCTACTCAGAGCGTTGCTTAGCGAATTCCGGTTCTAAAGCTGCATTCGCCAACTTCTCGCCAAAGGATAGAGAAATCGGCCATTCGCGATAACGAAATAGTCTTGATGAACCCCTTACACCGGAGGGCAAGCCCGGGTACGACGTAACGCAGTAGTCTTTTAAGTCCAACTGTTGCTTTCAGATTCCCAAGTGACATGATCTGCGGGACCGAAGAAGACCTTTCCACAAGTAAAGCCAAGTATACCATTCCTCTGCTTATCGGTGACAGACTTGTGAGCGGCCTTCGCCTTGGCGTACTTCAGACTGAGAATTCTCCAGGTCGATCTGTGCCTGACAGAGAGATGGCTCCACATCGAGCTCGTAATGGCGGACCCAGATGGATGAGATAAGATAGTTGAGAGGTCGCCAATGCATGTTGAACAAAGCCGATTAGTCCCTGGCAAAAAGAAAAAGACCCTGTGGCTGAATGACAGTTCGGGCAAAATTTCCAACCATATCCAATCAGGAATGCGGCGGTCCCAAGCATGTAGCCATGTACCGCTCATATGTGGCGGGTTCCAGCTCCTTCGCTCATGAAGAGTATATCGGACGAGTTAACTGAGCTTGGTTCATGACCGTCCAGGCGACTGATAGGGATAGCTGTGGTACCCACTACACATCTCTTGATGTCGCTGGATTACTGAATAAAGACGTGAGAGATGAAGTATACAAGTAAATGAGCTACCAAACACTTACCAATGCTTTTAGAGAAGCAGTCACCAGCTCCAAGCCATCCGACAGCCACTCGCCAATCTTCTGGTCACAAATTCTCCGGGCATCGAGTCCCAGTCCCGCGTTCGTCCAACCCTATGCAGCGTAGCAGACGGAAACAATGCGGGTGTCGATTCCCCGGGGGAGTGGTGCGTCCCAGCATCCGTGCCTTGGGAGACGGCAACCCCCCCTTCGCATCCGCCAACCCGAGTGTGTGGACTGGCGACACCAAGTGTGATCCCGACCTGCGCCGCCAAGCTATCATTGGCTGGAGTACCAGTAAGGGTGAACAAGGGGACTAGGTGTGAAAAGGCACAACGCGCAACTTGAGTTCATCACTTGATTGTAATGTGCCAAAAGTTGAACCTGAGGTGACTGATACCTCTTTCGAAACTCCGAAGCTTTTCGGTCTGTCCGACTCGTGGCCGGACAGCATGGAAGACGTCCAGCCGACGCAAAGAGAATGAATTAACAGGGCAACTCTAAAATGGCGTTTAGAGTTCCATGCGCAAGTGATTTTTGGATATTTTTCGGCGAGTGCGACGGCGATTGCCGGAGCAGATGGGAACTGGATCAACTGAGGAGTTGTTCGTCGTCACCTGGAGAGAAAGTCGCGAGGAGCCGACAGACTTTGCTGCGGTGATGAACAAGGTGATTTATTCATGGCTTCTGGCCCGTGCACCATGTACACTACCTCTACGTAATTTACAGTTCA